GGCCGGTGAGTTTAAAGTGCTCCAGGACCTGTGGAAACCTTACAAACCTCCTTGGAAACAATGTGAGAAGTACTGCACGCTCTTGGACATGCTACTCCAGAAGTGTTGTCATTCTCACTTGTGAAAGTCTACCAAAGCCTGAAAAAGAAAAATTGGGCATACAACTGTGTCCATCCTGGCCACATTGAAAAGAACCTGCAGTTTCTGGTAAGGAATTAGAGTATTTATATATGCTTCTGCTATTGTTTTGTCTAGGAATTGATAGCATTTCAGGAGAGAGCAACGGGGCAGGGACCTGCCAAGTCCACACTGCGAGAGTCAAAATCATTGAACTGATTGGACCAGAAGATCTTCATCAGCTGATTTCTGCTTTAAAATGGACTTAAACGCAAAGTCATCTTTTGTTCGTTAAACTAGTACAGGTCTTCCCAGGTTATTTGTAAACTCTAAAGGAGAGCCAGAAGGAGTTGGAAACCTGACTGTCACACTCTGCTTGAGGTTGCACAGTGGCCTCTGTACTAACCCCGAGGTCATCACAGCTTCAGTCTTCAGGATTTCTCATGGAATTCCAGGGGCAACGTAAGACCTCTCCTTTGCAGTCACAGACTTTCGGCGTTTGGCAAGGTCTCCGCGCCTTGACAGATTTGGGGATGACTCTGTGCTCCTTGTCAGCCAAGGAGGAGTAGTAAATGATCTGCTGATGCTCTGGATTTGGGCCTTCATCAGAAACTAGGTGGGATGTAAATGTTCAGAACCTGATAGAACTATCCAAAGGTTCTTTTTTTCTTTTTCCTCAACTTCTTTGTCTCTTCTTTGATAATCGCTGCATTATTTTTTTCATATTGTGATGGGATTACCTGTCTGGATTTTTTTTTAAGGTTTACAAATCCGGGCTATTTGTCTCTAGTTTTCATTCACTCCTTCCATCTTATTCCTACCTCTCTCCAGAGATCTTGCTTTATAAAGCAGCAAAGGCTAGAAGCACATCTTCTTTTTCACTTGGGACTGGAGGCAGCATGCACAGAGTTCAGACAGTAGTGGGTTTGTGCTGCCTGTTTTTCATCCTGAAGAAAGAATTGGTCCCAGATAGGCTGCCAGCCTTCATGATATCTCGCATCTCCATCCTCTGCCTCGGTGTGAGGTTATGTTTGCTGATTGATGGGGATTTTGGCGGTTTTTTTAATGCTCTGGAAGTGGGAACTGGTGTCTCTTTTCCAGCAGTCCCCCCACTGTCTAAGGCTCTTGGAAAAGCGAGGCAAGATGTGTTGTGGGCCAGGCAGTTGTGTGGCTTGGATCTGAACTTTCTGCTGTAGTCTTCCATTGCCCTACTGTTCCTGCCTAGTGTAAACTTCATGAAAACATTTGGATCTTATACCCTGAGGATTGCCAGCCAGGCAGCATCCAGACTGTCAGTGTAAAGCATCTTCCATTGAAAGAAGCTGTTTTGGCTGTGGGTCAGAACATTTTGGCATGCAGCAGGTCTTTTCCTGGATTTACACAGTTAGATAGGAAACATTTGCTGTGCGGGTACAGCAACCCTTTCCTCTAACATCAGCAGTTTCAGTAATGTTGGACCATTTTGTAGCCCTGAAACAACTTGGATGTTCTGTCAGTCTCGTGTCATATTGTGCTGCAGATCTACAGTGGGAAGATTCCTGTGGGGCTCCCTGGATCGTGCCTCCCTCTGCCGATTTGGAAGCCCTTTGTCCTCAAGACACGGATCGTAGTAATAGTGGGATTGAGTAGTGCATAAGCACAAGGACGTGACTGGGTTAGCTTTGTGAGGAAGAATGGTATAGAGGAAGAAGGAATTGAAGCCCGGATAAGTATCCTGCTCATTTTCTGGAGTTGAGCTTGAAATATTTGTGGGCTGATTTTTTTTTTATATATATATTTTACTCTCCCCCATGATATTTAGAAAAAGTAATGCATTTTATACATGCAGATCCCTTGCTGTTGCAGGCCCCTCGCTGTCTTTCGCCCCGGGCGGGTGTATGGGGTCCGGCTGGGGTGGAGGCAGTGTTCCCCCCAGCAGTGCTGTGTACTGGGAGCCAGAAGGGTGTTGACAACACCCGGGTGTTGTGGCGGCTGCTGGGCAGTGCTCCACAGCACCACAGCTCTCCAGCATTCCCCCTCTCCCCGCGGGCTGGGGGTGGGCAAGGTCTGGGGAGGGGGCAGAGCCAGGACAGCCGACCCAGCCCTACGGACCACCTGCTCCTAAGCTAAGAGAAGGGAGGAAGGGGCGTTCGTTAGGATGGCGTGTGTCTGACAGAGCAGCCGCTGCGTGCACTGAAGCCCTGCTTCCCGGGAAGTGGCTGGACATCACCTGCTGATGGGAAGTAGAGAGTAAGTCTTTTGTTTTCCTTGGCTTCCTTGCGCAGCCCTTGCTTTTGCTTTAACAAAGTGCCTTTATCTTGACCCGTGAGGTTTTTTTCCATCTTACTTTCTCCTCCCCGTCCTGCTGAGGAGGGGTGTGATAGTGCGGCTTGGTGGGCACCTGGAGTCCAGCCAGGGCCAGCCCACCAGGCCACATGTCACCTGTAACAGGCATTTGGGAGATGAAGCAGTAGTGATCAGCAGAGGAAAAAAGTCAATTTTTTGCTGAACTGCTTAATGGGATAGGATTCAGCTTTTGCCAGATGACACTCAGTAACCTTAGGTACCAAAGCACCCCTCTCTTCCACGGTCCTTTGCTCCCATCCTATTTCCTTTACGCGCAGCGCACGAGCCAGGCCTGTGCAGACATCGCCTCGCTCCTGCCTAGCTCTGACTTGTTCCCTCACCATCAGCCACCCTGTGCACAAAGTGAGGTGGATTTCTGTGGAAAAGACAACGTCTGGCCGTGAGCTCAAGTTGGGGCTGTCGGAGGGTGCGTGCCAACTACAGTAGCCGACCTTTACAGTTGCTTCTTAGCTTGATGCGCAGCACGGGCTTGAGCTAACGCGGTGGGGGGGCAGAGAATTGTGTCCATCCTCCAGCAGACTGGCCACTGAAGGGGAGCCAGGACAAAAGTGTTCTGCTGAGCATCCTTAATGCTTGTCAGTAGCAAAGGGTTGCTCTGCCTTCTCTAAACCAGTACCTTGGTGGTTGTAGAGCATTTCATCCCAACTTTCACTAGCATGTTTCTTCATTGCCTCCTCCCTCATCCACTCTTCTGCTCCTTTTAATTCTTTCCCCATCTCGGGTGCCAGCAAACGTTGGCAGTAGGTGGGAGACTCTTCTGATCTTTGTCGTGGTGTGACATTAGCCCCCAAGTTGCCAGAAGCAATTGGACTGTATTCCTGGGTTTTAATTTCCTCACTCTGTGCAAATATTGGAGGTCTGCTCTGCTTGGCAAGTGAGAGTTTGTGGAACCAGGAGCACATGTGGGACAAATGGGATTTTGACTGAAGGACACAGCCAAGTACTAGGAAGTGTCTGCTGGGCTGGTGCAAACTGAGGTGACCAGAAGCTGATTAATGTGGATGTTCCTCGGGATAGTCGGGCATCTCAGACAGCCCTTGGGCATCTGTGTAGAGGAAAGTGTTACAAGAAAAAAAAGCACCAGAAAAAGCAAAGCTTGCTTTTCTTTATTGACTGAACTATTCTACTTGTTGAAGCCTGCCACAAAAAAAAAAAAAATCTTTGAGGCAGACCTCAATCCCTACAGTTAGTAGTTCACAAAGCAATTGGATACCTTTTTGATCTGTGGGCATTAGGTAACTCCAGCAGCGATCGTGGGATGTTAGCAGTCCCAGCTCCACCGGGTGATGTGCGCCTGAGGACAGAACCTCATGGCAGAGTTACTGGGCAGCTGTATCTACGTGTAGCAAGTCACTAGTAGACCAGTGCAGTGAAAATCCACCGGGGCAATGCCTCCGTGTGCAGCTGTGGATAACGCTGGTATTAGAACTCCCTGGCAGGTCCGTCGGCCCAATTGCAAGGAACCAAGTTACTGCTGTGCAGTGTAGGGTGAAAGTCACTGTCAAAGAAGCAAACACGAAATAAAATCCACTAGTATAAAACCCCATGAAGATGCTTCAAGCTGAGTGGTTTCACTTCCCGGTGAAGCTGGCTAGCAGCCCCTGCACAGACCGCGGGTCCCGTCTGACACGTGGCAGCTGGCGAAGCCGCAGCAGCCTGGTCGTTTGCGGTTACGTGAGCACGCTCTCGTACCAAAGGACTTGGGTGAAATATTTCATGTATTGTGTGATATTAAGGACGTTGAGTTTAGTGGATAAAACTACTGTCTCTTCCCATCTTAACTTTTTTTTCTAGCAGGATGTTTTGCTTTTGCATCAAGAGAATAAGTACTTTGAACCATTATAAGATATTCTTATGATACAGACGGCACATCATGACTTCAGTGTCATCCAAATGTTTTCACTACCTTCTTTTTTTTTTTTTTTCCCTTCATTTGTTGAAGTTTGTCTGCCACTTTGTGAAGGTTCAGTCCCATCCTCCTCTTTTCATCCGAGGATTCTGAAGATAACTTTAGGTTATTTCAGAATTCTCGTGACCTCCTGGTCCTGGTTAATTGAAACCATCTTCAGACTCCGTGTCCCTGACGGCCTGTGATTGTCAATACTGTTCAGAAACTTTGAGTGTCGCTCTACTTCTGGTACCCATCCTGTGCCAGGGGTTGTAGTGGTTCAGCATAAGTTTTCCCAATGTCTGTCAGCAGGTGAACTTTTACTTAATAGTTAATAAAACCAGTAAAAAATATTTTCTTTAGCTGCTGTGTTCAGAGGGCATGTAGGAGCCAGAATAATCAGTCTCTGAAGTTGCTGGAGGCAAAGGGATTTGAACACCTAGTTCCCAGGCAGCTTGGAAAATCCTAGCCTAAATATGAATATTAAAACAATGTATAGAAGGGTTGGACATTTTCACAAGTTTATTTTAAAACATGCTCTGGAAAAGTCATTCAAATTCTGAAGACTAAAATTGCCAGCTGAGTGAGAAGCAGCAGCCTTTTTACCTGACAAATGTGACTCCTGCTATGTTTCTGTTTTTCCTTCCAGCTGGCAATCCTCTTGTTCAGCAGAGTGGGCAGCCGCTAATCCTCGCCCAGAACCCAGCCTCGGGCCTGGGCACAATGGTAACTCAGCCAGTGCTACGACCTGTGCAGATCATGCAGAACGCCAATCATGTCACAAATTCTCCGGTGGCCAGCCAGCCCATCTTCATAACGACCCAGGTGCGTGCCCTGCCAGCCAGGACGGCTGAGGCGGAAGATCTGGTGCACTCGTCCACCGAGGACTGGTCTCCCTTGAGAAATAATCAGGCGCCTGTTCCAGTGTTTCTTGTGCACTTTAGTGGGTGTTACACCTGAGCTGAAATCTGTTGGCTTCTGGTTTTTTAATTTATGTAGATTTGGAAATAGCTTGTCTTCCTAGTCATTTTGCGGTTGATTCTCACTTGGGAAAATTGGCTCTGTTCCACACCTCAGCCAGTCTTGTGGGACTTCACAGGTCTGATGGGACTTCACGCTGGCTCTCAGCTGGAGCCCTGCCAGCAGGGCCTGACTCCCTCCTGTAGGTGGGTCTGTCCACTCTGCGTGAATTTGACCTCGCTGAATACTTCACTATTTTGTTTTATTTTCTTGAGAAATGTGCAGGTAAATTTTTTTAAGTGTCCATTGGCTTCTTTGAGCATTTGTTAAGACCTGGGAGAAGATCCCTCTAGGTGCTTGGGGCAGGAGAGGTTGAGAGTGGAGGCTGTATGTCGGAATGCTGTAGAGTGTAAGGAAGGTGGCCCTGCTGTTGGGAAGGTGCTGGCTGAGAACAGTATGGCCTCATAGTCCAGTTGGTCTATAGGTGATAGTACTGTGGGGTAGGTTTTTTTTTGATTTGTTTGTCTGATTTTTAGGGTAGAAAGTTCATATTTGAAAGTGCTTCAGGTATGCTCGGTATCTTAATGGTAGTGGTACTGTTTGACTGCAGGGATTTCCCGTGAGGAATGTGCGGCCTGTACAAAACACAATGAACCAAGTTGGAATTGTTCTGAATGTACAGCAAGGTCAAACAGTTAGACCCATCACCCTCGTCCCAGGTAAGGACTGAAGCAAGCCAAAGCCACTGTTGTGTTCCTTTTTAGAGCACCAAAGGTTTTTTTTAAAAAAAAAAAAAATTGAAATCTGTATTTCACCTGTATATCTAGTAGTTCAGAAAAGGAGGGGGTTTTAGTTCTCTAGTAGGTGAGATTTGTCCATATCTGTGGCTGTGATTCTGCTAGTCATTTTGCAGCAGAGAGTCACCCCTTTGATCATAGTAACGAACCACTTTGCAGAGTAGGGGACTTCCAGCTGGGAAGAATGGCTGTCTCTCAGAACTCCACATAATCTAGCCTCTTCAGAAAGCCTCCTCAGGTAACTTAATTCCAAAGTCCCGGCCCATGGCCACCCCTCTTCCTTCCTTTCAAAATCTCCCCGTGCCATGTCAGTGCTGGAAAGCTGCCTGGGAACCAAACCTCACCCTGAGGATGATTCTTGTAATGCTCATTTCTGCTACTGGAGCCTGTCGCGCACCATCAGAAGGACCGAGGCCGCGTGTCACCAGACACCTGCCTTACAACAAAGCAGCCACGCTAGTGACGAGTCGCCTTTCGCTCTCCCCGAAACAAATCTCCCAGAGCCTCATATTGCAAACCAGTTCACAGCTGTAGGATCACCCTTGTCCTGCCATAAGAAGCCTTCCGAGGGCTTCCGTTGGGCCTAGGGATGAGGGCTGTGAAAGTCAGTGGGATTTGTGCTCAAGAGAGTCTTGGGCCTTTCAGAAAATTCCACCTAAAAGAAGTTGTAAATACAATCTTCACTCTGCATCCATGTTGAGTTTTAGTCTGTCTGGGAAGTGAAATTAAGGTGCCAACCTCCTAAAACTTCCACTGGAATTGCTGGGAGTTCTGGGAGCTCAGCGGTGTCGGAAAAGAGGTTGCACTCCGTTACTACTGTGCAAGGAATGGAATTCGATGACCTGATCTACTGTGTTTGTCATTTGTCTCTGAAGCCCCAGGTACCCAGTTTGTTAAGCCGGCAGTTGGCGTTCCTCAGGTGTTCTCTCAAATGGCCCAGGTGAGACCAGGTACAACCATGCCGGTCCGACCCACCACCAACACTTTCACTACGGTCATTCCGGCCACGCTTACCATCAGGAGCACTGTACCCCAGTCCCAGGCACAACAGCAAAGTAAGTCCACTCCCAGCACCTCCACAACTCCTACTGCAACGCAGCCAACCACCCTTGGACAGTTAACTGTGCAGCAGCCAGGGCAGTCCAGTCAAGCTACTAACCCCAAATTAGGTAAGACTTGCCATGGAAAAGCAAGGGGACTTGAGTGTATAACACTGTCTATAATTTGATCTTCAAACATACGGAGTAGCAGCTAAAAGACAGAAGTTGAGTCAGAGCTCCTGGGTTCTATTTTTGCCTCTGTCACTGACTCATGCTTCATCTCTCTTACCAACCTGGAAAACGAGGATAATCCTGCCATCCTGTCCAGTTTGGTTTGAGAACTAGTTACGTTTTGTTTTGTAGAATGTTCTGAGACCATCAATTAGAAGTCCCCAAAAGTAAAAATTACTCTCTGTTAATCACTTGTATTTTTAAAAAGGTGAGGTTGAATACATGATGAACACATGCAGAAACTAACCATGTTGCTTTTTTTTAATGTTGGCTGAATTCATGAGTGAAACGATCGCTCAAGAATAGTGACAAACAATTTAAAAAGGAAAAAAAAATACTTCTTCACACAGCAAGTAGTCAGGTTATTTTTAGCTTTAAGTGGCCATAATCATGTACAGCCGCAGTTAGGAAAGAATAATTTTTATGACCATCAGTACCCTGTTTAGTTCATCGTGGGACTTGGCTCATGTCTTGGCGTGTGATCTGGAAGGTCAGGGAAGTTTACTTTCCCAGTCTTGCCAGCCTTCACATTACTGGACAGGATAGTTGATGGCTCGGTCACCTTTGGTGAAGACTCAAGGTGGAAGAGCAAGAGAGAAGGTGTAGTGGATGGGGGCGGGATTCACACAGTGGATCAGATCTGACTGATTCCTTATTAGTGTTCTTGTATTATCCATTCCCTTGGCAGTGAGTATTGCAAGCTTTGTGACTGTAAAGAGACCTGGAGTGACTGGTGAGAACAGCAATGAGGTTGCTAAGCTAGTGAATACCCTGAACACCATTCCTTCGTTAGGACAGAGCCCTGGCAATGAGGTTGCTAAGCTAGTGAATACCCTGAACACCATTCCTTCGTTAGGACAGAGCCCTGGCCCGCTGGTGGTTTCCAACAGCAGCCCTGTGCATGGTTCCCAGAGATCTAGTGTTTCAGAGTCGTCGTCATCGTCATCATCGTTAAAAGGTATGGTCTGGAGCAGCTATCTTAACTCCATTGATTCTGCTGAGAATTCAGAAGTTTATTTTCTGGAGTAAAATAAAAAAAAAAAAAAAGGCTAACCTGTAACTACTGAGATTCATAATCAGCATAAACACTTGAAAAGCTTTGCTATTAATTTCTTCATCTTTATCTGTACAATTTTGTCCAGCGATTATATTTTGTTTGTGGATATTTGCTTGCACACGTTATTTTGCATTCAAACTTACCGGTGTGCGTGCTGCCATCTTGAGAATACACACACACCTGAAATACTCTACACAAGGAGGCAAAAAGGATAAAAATCTTTGCTTCTCTTCCAAAAAAGCACCTTGCTAAGGTGTTCGAGAGCCCAAAAGTTGATTTAAGGTACATTTCATGTCATCTGTATTCTGAGTTTCTTACTGCAGCTGGAGGTGAAGATGAGGCATTATAGTCTGAGAAACCAAGCCAAACAGATGATTAAAGAAAAAGGGGAGATGAGTTGAACTGAACTTTTTTCCATTTTTTGTTACTCACTAAGTGTAGTTTCGACACACTCCTGTTTTCGTTCTAGCTACTGGGGGGTATGTCTTGACATACAGATTGTCAGAAGTTGGCATACTTTTGCCATTTTCCATGCCTCTTCCAGTCTAGTTAGTAGTAACAAGTACAGCTCTTGAGACTAAAGTATTCCAGCATTCCAAAAAGCTTGCTTAGATTTAAGATGAAGTGTAAGGTTTCTATTTTTCTAGTTTGGTTTTGTGTTTTTCCTGTTACAGTCAGTTCATCTCCTGTTCCCACATTTGATTTGCAAGATGGTGGCAGGAAGGTCTGCCCAAGGTGCGATGCTCAGTTTCGAGTCACTGAAGCTTTAAGAGGACATATGTGTGTAAGTAACCATTCTAAGATGGTTATTTTACTAATGGATAATTGCTCGTGATTGTGAAGTGCAAAGAATAGTTCTCCTCCCTAGATTAGGGACTGCTGTGGAAAGGAAGAATGTGACTGGGAGAAGGTGAGAGGCAAAGGAGAGAGAGGCCTTTGGAAGACCTTCCCCAGCATCCCTCGCTGGAAGTAGGCAGGACCCCAGTTTCATGTCCTGTTGGTGCCAGGCAATCTGTTTATTTTCTAATCTGACATATCAGTAAACAATCAAAACAGAAAATTGGATATTGACACTGCATCACTCTTTCCTTAAGAGTTTCTTAGAGTTCCTCTGCCTTTTCTTAGTACTGGTTAGTTTCTGTCTGTTTAACAGTATAATGAGACTGTACCTAGGAAGAACTACATAGACTAGTTCTTCTTAGATACAGTTTAATGTGTGGGGTGGTTTTGTCTTGTTTGTTTGTTTTTCTTTTAGTACTGCTGCCCTGAAATGGTTAAATTCCTCAAGAAAAGAAAATCTCCAGATTCCGAACCAAATACTCAATCTGCAAAGCCTCCATCTCCAGAAAAAACGACGGCTGTTGCTTCACCGCCCTCTTCTACTCCTATCCCTGCACTGTCCCCACCCGCTAAAGCGCCAGAGCCCAGTGAAAGCGTAGTTGACTCGTCCCAAAGTAAGCTCATTATGTTAGTAGATGATTTCTACTATGGCAGAGATGGCGGCAAAGTGAACCAGCTGCTGAACTTCCCCAAGGTTCCAACTTCCTTCAGGTGTCCGCACTGCACCAAGAGGCTAAAGAACAACATACGGTAAGGGTGTGCGATGTGCCACAAAAACAGTCGGCAGTGCTCTGACTACCTGCAGGGGGGGAAATGCCTGGTAAGCCCCAGTGTGGCCGGCCCTGCCGCTTTCCCGTGTTGGAGCTCAGGACCAGGACTGAGGCACGACAGGGAGAGATTTACCCACAGTCACACAGTTCAGTCAGGGCAGAGGTTGTAAGGAGATTGCACGCTTAGAATAATTGTGTTTATATCCTTCAGCAGAGAAGCCTCATTTGCTCATCACTAGCCTTAGTAGATAATAGGAAGTCATTCTTCTTGAAGAACTGCTCTTCTCACCTTTATTCAATGCACTTTCAATAGAGGGAGAAAGTACTTTTGTGAAATAGTGTATACTTTTGAGAAAGTCACTGCGTTGTTCTATTGTGCTATCTGGACTACTGATTTTTCTTTTAAGTTGAAATGTTTTGTCGTCATCAGTCGGATGCCGAGTTGGGGTCAGAAGTGCTCAAAAGCGAGTCGTACAGCCTCTGTACTACAGAATCTGTTCTTTGACTTCCCCTAGAGCTGGGGAGCAGGAGGTTGCTGGATAGAGGGAGACTTTGCTTTTGATGGGAGGAGGAGGAAGGAAACGTCTTAATGCAGTTGAAAATACTTTCGGTGTAGCGTTCGTACTGCTTTCAGGGTTACAGGTGCAAAATGTTTGGCTTTCTGCTCACACACTTTCTGTTCACCTCCATAAGATTTATGAATCACATGAAGCACCATGTGGAACTGGATCAGCAGAACGGAGAGGTAGATGTCCACACCATCTGTCAGCACTGTTACAGACAGTTCTCCACTCCGTTTCAGCTACAGTGTCACTTAGAGAATGTCCACAGTCCCTATGAGTCAACAAGTAAGTTGGCTCTCCTGTTGTTGTTTGTTTAGGTTTAAGAGGGTTTCTGTCTTGAATTAACTGCAGAACTGGTGAGAAAGGAGTGTCTGTTCTGCCTTGCCCCTTGGCGCCTTTGTGTTGTAGGCCACCAGAAAAATCCATCTAAGTTACATTTCTGCAGACTTACTGTCAAGAGTATTCTGGAGATTGAGTTCAATAACAACGTCATGGTAGAACTTAATTTTTTTCAGCAAATTGACATCTGATTTAAAATCACTTGAAGATTCCTCGTTGGGACACCTTGTTGTACCCACCATTTTAAGAGAATTTTTGCTGCCTTTTGGGAACTTCAGAGAGTTCAGAGCTAGTTTTTTGGGAGAGGTGGTGGGGGCGGTTGTTTTAGTTTTAAGGGACAGTTGTTGCCCAAGAAACTCGTACTGGTGTTTGGTTTGGTTTGGTTTGTTTTTTTTTTTTGTCCCCCAGCTGTTACCTGCTTTTCCTTTCTTTCGCAGCAAAGTGCAAGATCTGTGAATGGGCATTCGAGAGTGAGCCAATGTTCCTGCAGCACATGAAGGACACTCACAAGCCTGGGGAGATGCCCTATGTTTGTCAGGTATTAAAAGCGGTTTAGGGGCTGGACTTCAGAAATACATACCAGAGAATAAAAGGAAATCTGGTGCTTTTCAGCGAAGTGTGTGGCTCGTAGTGGTCTGGAGCAGACTTGAGCCACGACACAGTGCTGTGGAGCCCGCTGCGTTTTTTTCCAGGTGTGGACCTGGAGAAGTCCAGTGGCTTTTGGGGCAGCACAAGTAGCTGAATGTTTGCCACCAGTTCCCAGCACTCTGAAGCTGGATCAGTTTGATAGATGTTTGTTTAGTCCCAGTGGCGTTCAGAGCCTAATTTTTTTTTCCTCCCAGGGCATGCAGACAAATTGCCGTGCCATAAAGAGAAGTTGTCACTCCGGAGCAGATGAGATTATGTTGCTTGTGTGATACCTTTTCTTGACACTCTGTTGCCATGAGATTTGTGCTTGCATCGATTCTGAGATTCTGAACGTATCATCTCCACCCAGAGGTCCTAACACTGTCCCTCCAAAAAGAAAAAACAGAGAAGAAACTTCTAAAATATGTTATGTTAAAACAGATTATGTTCCAAATTCTGCATTTTACATAGATCCTGAAGAAACTGCTCTTTAATATATTCCAGCTGCTTTGCTTTGACTGTCTCTCTCCCTTTTCTTCTTTTTTTCCTTGGATATGGAGCTTGAATTGTCACTACTTTCTTTCTATACGAGTAGCTCAAATCTGTTTCTCCAAACTACTCTGAATATCCACTGCTTGATTTCATATCTAACAGTTGGAACAGGCTGGCAGGTTCTTTAAGGTTCTTTAGGACCTGGTTCCTAAACTCCACTGATGAGTATCTTTGGGTATCTGGGCACTACTACTAAGATCTCCGTGTCACAGTGGTGGATGTGAGAGAGACTCCGATGTTATTTCACTGTTAATTGTTCCCATCCACTGCGATAGGTCTGTCAGTACCGCTCATCGCTCTACTCCGAAGTGGATAGCCATTTCCGAATGATCCACGAAGACACGCGGCACCTGCTCTGCCCCTACTGCCTCAAAGTCTTTAAGAATGGCAATGCTTTCCAGCAGCACTTCATGAGGCATCAGGTACTGTGTCAGGGCTGTAGTCTCTCCTTGTTTAAGGGGGCTGGCTCTCCGCAGAGATGCAGTGGATGGTAAGCGTGCAATTAGTTCAGCATTTGCTTGGGATAAAAACGGAAAAAAAGAAAACTTGGTTGAAAGAGGGGTTTTAGTAGATGCTGCTTTCACTCCGTAACAAATGCAATTTGCACGCTGTCATTCCAGGCCTTGCATAGGGATTGTGCTGGAGGGAGGAGGCGTTGCTCCTTTGGGAGTAGCCCGGGCTGTTACTTAGCAGAAAAACGCACGGTCTGCTGGGCTGTTTGCTCCGTGTGATGATTAACCAACAGTGGGCTCTCTGTTCGTTTGGGTTTATAATTTTTTTTTATTTCCAGGTAATAGATAAGTAAATAATACTGTATGCACACAGATGAGTGTAATTTTAGTAGCTCGGTGTTCTGTTTCCATGTACGTTGCCCGTATTGACAACATATTTTATGTGGGTGTAGCTGAAGTGTACTTTCAGAATATAGAAACGTAGCGCTCTTACCGAGAGCCTGAGTTGATGTGCCCCGAAGTCCTTCGCCGGCTCCCGTGAGAGGCAGAGGCAAGGCAGCTTTTGAAGGAATGCTGCCCCACGTGCTGCTCTGCTCGTGTGCCTTGCTTTGGCTTGAACAAGCTGGGGAAGACTCGTTCCCTGGCACTTCCAGGTCTGGTGTCTCTGCAGAGCCTGATGATTTTAATTGAAAAACCAAAACAAACAAAAAATTCAGAGCACCCGAGATCGGGCTTGCCAGGGAGGGACTTTCAGATGCTGAAGAAAAATGGGGCTGCCTTTGGTTTCAAAGAACAGAAAAAATGTTAGCTTTTTTTTTTTTTAAACAAAAAACCCTGCTGTGTTGTGACATGCTTCTCTAAAATTCGATATATTTCATCTGCATTTGCTTTAGAAGAAGAGTGTTTATCATTGCAACAAGTGTAGACTCCAGTTCCTGTTTGCCAAGGATAAAATTGAACACAAGCTGCAGCATCACAAAACTTTCCGAAAGCCCAAGCAATTAGAAGGATTGAAACCTGGAACCAAGGTAAGGACTCGAGGTTAACAGCAGGCCTGTGTCCTCGGGAAACACCCGCAGTGTCTGGGGGGGGGGGGACTTAGCAAGAGCAGACGTTTGCTTCAGCTGCACCGTTACCCGGCACTCGCTGGGACAGAAAAGCCCTTTGTGTTCTGCCCGCCTGGGGAGTGCGTAGTTAACGGGATGTGGTTGGGGCAGAAGCAGAGCGGGGGGGGGTGGCAGTGGCACGCTGGAGGCTGAACTCTCCTGGTGAAGGTACCGACGGGTGGAGGTACCTGAACTAGGTGTCGGGCGGCCTCTCTAGTTGCCAGGGACTGAGCGGCGCTTCGGGACTCGTGTCCTGGGGGGCTGGTGCCGCCCTGGGTGGGACGAGCCGCGTCCTGGGAGCAGCGCTCTGTTCTCTGCCGGGGGGCTGGAGGACACAGGAGTGAGCTCAGAGGCGCCTCTGCCCATGTGGTTTAGGGGACGTGGGGGTGTGTTTTCTGCAGGTTACGATCAGGGCGTCTAGAGGACAGCCACGGACAGTGCCGATAGCTTCCAACGACGTGCCGCAGGGCGCTGGACAGGAAACCACCTCGCTGGCAGCCTCTACCGATCCCCAGCCCATCTTCCTGTACCCGCCCGTCCAGAGGAACGTCCAGAAGAGAGCGGTCAAAAAAATGTCAGAACGTTCTGCTAAATGCCAAATTAAAAAAGATTTTTTTAAAGGAAATGCAGTTAGCTTTTCAGTGCCACAGCGATGGGTAATACGATCCTCAGCACTGGACAGCTCTGTCTTACCAGTTGCCAAGGAAACTTTATGCCAGGAGAGCCTAGCTTCCGCCAAGCCCAGGATTAAGTCATGTTAGGAAAGCCCTTAAGGTGAAACGGTGAAGTACAGACTTAGTGAGGCGTTTTTATAGAAACAATGGAATTTCATCAGCATAAGGGCTTTCCCACAGCCTACCCTGTGTCCTGCTGCCTTGTCTTAATTTTTTTTTTTTCTTTTTTTAATTGATTATCCACTCTTAAACTGTATATTCCTGACTACAGCAAGTAGGGAATGCTTAGCCTGGCACCGAGGCACCTTGGCTTCCCGGGGCGCGAGATGAGACTAGTTGGACTGCAGACTTGTGAAAGTTTACGTGCCATTAAATTCTTCTCGGTCTTGACAGTTGTTGTAACTCCGAAGATGCCTGCTCAGACACTAATGAAAACATCCCTCTGATTTTCAGGAGTGTCTTGGGGAGGCAGACTTGTCTGGAGTGCAGCTTCGAAATCCCCGACTTCCCAAACCACTTCCCCACCTACGTGCACTGTTCGCTGTGTCGCTACAGCACTTGCTGCTCCAGAGCTTACGCCAACCACATGATCAAGTACGTGGGATTCTGCGAATGCTGTCGTAGAAACTCCTCCTGCCTGAATGCAGTGGCACCTCTGTGTGTGTCTGCACTGCAGGAAAGGGGCATGGGGAAACTCCAGGTCACCGCAGCAGTTTGTAAGTGTCAGCACAGGTGTGGGTGGTGGCTCTCAAATGGGATGAGAACACTGAGTGCAAGAGCTGAGATTCATCCCAAGCTGTCAGGATTGTGGCCAGTGACATGTGTCCTGCATGCTGCTGCAAAACACTGTCACTTTTCAGCGCTTCTTGAAAAATTCTCAGATTTAATAATCTAGAAATTTTTTAAAGGGGTAAAAAAAAAAAATAATGCTGTGCTTCTCCAAGCCTGTGGTCTGTACAGGACTGTGGATAGACCACAGACCAGGATGGCAGAAGTTACTCCAAAATCTGGGCACTTTAAATGTTGTTGTACAGGTTTTTCATTTAGACACGGAGTTTTCCTTTCCTTGAATACAAAACTGACAGACAAAATGTTATTAAAACCAGGATTGGCTCTGTCTTTGTAAATGTGCAGTATTTTGCATGGGTTTATAGCTCTTTAAATACCCAGAATAATTCTGACATTTAATAAACTCTTTTGTCTTACAGCAACCACGTTCCTCGGAAGAGTCCAAAATACTTGGCTTTGTTTAAAAACTATACTGCCTGGTAATGGAAAACTTGTCATCTGACTTTAATCCCCTGGAACCGAATGTGCCTTCACTTTCTGATCTTCCCGTTCTGCTCTTGCATGATTGCTTCTGAAGAAGCTCTGGTTATTTTTTGCCACACAGGAAAATATGTTGAATTAAGGGCAATATGTTGACACCCCCATTGCCTTCCAGTGGGAGTTTAGTGTTTCAGGGTGGGGACACTGCCTGTATGCACTGGAGGGTGATGGTTTTTTCTAATTGTTAGTGGGGGGATGTACTTACTTTCATAACTGGTGTTGATACTGAGCTCACTTTTTTTTTTTTTTTTTCCCCCTCCTCCCTTCCAGTGGTGTAAAGCTGTCCTGTTCCTCTTGTCTCTTTGTAACGACTGAGGGTGATGCAATGGCCGAACATCTGGTCTTCAACCCATCACACGAGTTTAGTAACATTATTTTCCGAGGTAAGAGTTTGAAAAGGAGCCAGGAGTGTTGTGGAAAATGAACACAGGGCATAATATTTCACCTGGAGCCTATGAACTGATACACTTCTTTGTTTAGCGTTGGGCTGAGCGCTTGGGCCCCAGTTCTGAGGAGATGCAGTGTGTTAGGGACCTCCTGAACCGCCTGAATGAGTCTTCATTGTTATGGAGATTGGAGAGTTAAGCGTTGAGGGAGGCTGGCTCTGCCCCTGAGCTCCTCTGAGCCACCACTGTACCTCCCTGACGCCAGGAGCCTTCAGCAGCTGCTGCTGCCGGGCTTGAACGGAGCCGCGGAGCGGCGGCCCGGCCGCTGCCTGTGAATTGCCACAACTTGCGGAACTCGGGGATCGGGCCGCCGCCGAGCTTTCCCAACCCAACTGCCCGCGTTACCGAGCGCACGTGGAGTCGTGCGGCTGGTGAGCGCGGCTCTGCCCCTCGCCCCGTGGCTGGGGCGCGAGGGGCGCGAGGGGCGCGAGGGCGGTAGCTGTTGGGCAGCACCTTGGGGTGCGGCAGGGCAGCAGGCAGCAGCGGGGCGCCGCGCTCCTCTCTGTAAGGGAACTTGTTTGTTTGCACTGGCGCGGTGTTCGTTTGCTAAGCTACAAATGGGTTTTGTTGTTTTGTTTTTCGTAACAGGGCCTACTTGGATATCACATTCCAGGTAAAGTGTTTGCGAACCCTTATCTGCCATCATCCCTTTCGGTTTGTGGGGTTGGGTGCGGGTTTTTTCCCTCGGTTTGTTTTCTCTCGACAGCTCTATTATCTCAGTTTTAAGAAGGCGCTGTGTTCTCTCCCCTCAAGGCACATTCAGCCCCAGGACAAAAGCGTGAAGAATCCTTGCCCTACCTATTCCCCGAGTAAAGCTGCTACTGTGAAAACAAAGTCTGTGTTACCCGCGAAAGATGACCTGGAGCCCGAGCTGGCACCAGCAGCCTACAACAGACCTCCGGTCTGCCAGGAAGAGGAGTGCTTAAATATTGATGCTCCAGAAGACGAGCAGCCAACGAAGGAGCCTGAGCCTGCCAGCAAAAAGGAGCAGCTGTCGGTGAAGAAGCTGCGCATGGTACTGTTTGCTTTGTGCTGCAACACCGAGCAGGCCGCAGAGCACTTCCGGAACCCTCAGAGGCGGATCAGGCGCTGGCTGCGAAGGTTTCAGGCTTTCCAAGAGGAGAACCTGGCGTCCCTGTCAGAGGGCAAGTACCTCAGCTTAGAGGCCGAAGAGAAGCTGGCGGAGTGGGTGCTGACGCAGCGAGAGCAGCAGCTGCCCGTGAACGAGGAGACGCTCTTCCAGAAAGCCACCAAGATCGGCCGGTCCCTCGAGGGGGGCTTCAAGATCTCCTACGAGTGGGCGGTGAGGTTCATGCTACGGCACAACCTCAGCACGCACACGCGGAGGGCCGTGGCTCACCCTCTCCCCAAAGACGTGGAGGACAACGCCGGTTGCTTCATCGAGTTCGTGCAGCGGCAGATCCACACCCAGGACCTGCCCCTCTCCATGATCGCCGCCATCGACGAGATCTCGCTCTTCCTGGACGTGGAGGTGCTGAGCAGCGACGACCGGAAGGAGAACGCCCTGCAGACGGTGGGGACCGGGGAGCCCTGGTGCGACGTCGTCCTGACGATCCTCGCCGACGGCAGCGTTCTCCCGACGCTGGTCTTCTACCGGGGGAACGTGCAGCAGCCCGCCAACGTGCCGGAATCGATCATGTTGGAAGCGAAGGAGAACGGGTACAGCGACGACGAAGTCATGGAGCTGTGGTCGACCAGAGTGTGGCAGAAGCACACGGAGTGCCAGAACAGCAAGGGCATGCTCGTGCTGGACTGTCACCGAACACACCTCTCGGAAGAAGTACTTGCCCTGCTGAGCGCGTCCAGCACTCTGCCGGCCGTCGTCCCTGCCGGCTGCAGCTCCAAAATCCAGCCCCTGGATGTTTGTATAAAAAGGACTGTGAAAAATTTCTTGCATAAAAAGTGGAAAGAGCAAGCCAAGGAAATGGCGGACTCCACGTGCGACTCGGACATTCTTCTGCAGCTGGTCCTGTGCTGGCTGGCGGAGGTGCTGGAGATCATTAGTGACTCCCCCGAACTGGTGCAGCAGTCCTTCCTGGTGGCCAGCGTGCTGCCCGGCCCGGACGGCACGGCCAACTCGCCCACGCGCAACGGCGACATGCAGGAGGAGCTGATCGCCGCGCTGGAGGAGCAGCTGAAGCTGAGCGACGCGCAGGCGGAGCAGGCGGCGGCGGGCGGGCAGGACGGGGCCCGGCCCGAGGAGCCCGCGGACCCCGAAATCCTCCAGCAGCTCTTCGAAGGGGAGAGCGAGACTGAGTCGTTCTACGGCTTTGAAGATGCCGATTTGGATCTGATGGAAATCTGAGCACTGATCTGCGAACCGTGATCCAGAAAGGGTTATTTTTGAAATAAATGTTGGATGAGACCATTACACTTCCCTGTGGATTTGTGGGTTTAGGAAATTCGTAGGCGATCACTCAGATAAATAGCCATTTATGCTGTTCATTTATAAGTTTTGTGCTTTTTTAAAAGAAAAATCACTGTGTTGGTATTTTCTGAAAATATATTGTGGGTGAATATTTTTGCGTTTTCTTTACCTCACTGTATCATAGTTTTCTGTTTTTATTGTGCAGAAATGTTTTGAATTATACATTGTCAATGTGACCATTTCTAAAGAAAGGAGAAAAATATGTAGCTAATGAACCAGTATATAAATCTTTTTGGTTGTCTTAACACAGGTTTTTTGTTTTGTTTTTTTTTTTCTTTTTTTTTTAACACTTGACCCAGAGATTTAGGTTTCTGTGGAAAATTTAGGTATGAGTTACTGCTCTAACGTGTGAACCTTCTATAATTGGCCATTAAGATTTGGGTTTGGTTTGGGGGTTTTTTGTTGGTTGTTTTTTTTTTTTTTTTAAAGAAGAGTAATTATTTTGCTTGTGAATTTGGACGGGGGGTAGAAACACAAGCGCAAGCGTTTTGCCTGTTCCGTGCCAGCGCCGCTGCCGGGGGCGGGGGGAGGACGGGCAGCGCTGGCCCCAGCCCCCCGCCTTCCCCTCGGCTCTCCGGCACCGGGCGGGGGTTCCTCTCCACCCGGGAGCCCGCCCGGCACCCACCTTGCTCCAAAGAATTCCTGACAGAGGGTACATGGTGGAAGAGGAAAGTCAAGTCTGTCTTGATCTTCCTGTACAGTAGGTGGGAGTTAAAACCGTACGGACCATTAAACGTCGACCTTTTAACTACTCGTAGTTGATAAACCTGCTTTAACCAGTGGCATCAGACACTACGTTCCTTAGAATTAGAAATCTGATTTAATGAAACAAACTGTGACGTGCACAAAAAGAAGACGTTTGTTTTTATTTTTCACTGCCAGCTTAAATTTTTCTACAATTTGCATGTTTGAGGGTTTTTTAATTGTATGTATTATGGTATAAACGGAAAGCATTTTGACACACAGAATTCAGAAGCACCTGCACCTTTCTGTTTCCATAGAGGTTTTGTGAACCTTCCCTATTACCTAAGGAAAGCAGGAGGCAGCATGTGCAGACCTGTAAATGGTTCATCTTTAAAATGTACATAAGTGGAACATTTAATAAAACCAGGGAAATGGATTTATAAACATGTGTTTTTATTATGAAGAACTATTTAACTCTTGTGATATCGTACTGCTTAATCTAAAGTGCATCCTGCCTTCCTGGGGGCCGCGCGAGCGCGCCGGCCGCAGCCTGCCCGGGCCGCAGGCCGGGTTCCCTCTGTGCGTGTGAGGGGCCGCGGAGTCGTTTCACATGTCCTGAAGAAGCCCCCAGCTGGGGTAGTAATTAAATGTGTTTACATGTCGTTAACACTCGAGGCAGAGTTCTGCCCGACTGGCATTTCTGCAGCCGCTCCCTGCCCTTTCACCATGCAGCGGGTTCAGTGGAACAACCTACTCTTCCCCAGTGAGATTTTTTTTTTGCTTTTTTTTTTTTTTAAATAAAAAGTCTGAAAAACCATTAATAAAATACTCTCCTGAATAAATATTTTCGCTGTTGTTTATCTCGGGTAGCAGTAAATACCGCTCTTGCTCTTCTTTATGGATGTATTCCACCCCAGGCGCAGCACTACCCCGCTCAGCCCCAGGGACACCTTGGGGTTCCTCCTGGCGCCGCGCCCCCGGCAGATGCTCAGTGCCCCGGCCTGGCTGCCGTCAGCAGGCACCGCCAGAGGACTTTAGGTAGGGAGAGCTTAATTCTTCTAATTGCAGTTATTAGAGAAAGCACTGAAGTCAACCCCCTCCTTTGTCTTTCTCCCCCGTGCTCCCGCGTTGGGCCAAGCGCCGGCAGCTGCGGGATAAGCCGGGGGCCCGGTGGGGGAGCAGCACCAGGACCGTGGGCTTGGGCTGGCAGAGCTGCTCCTGCCCAGCCCCACAGCTCTGCCCACCCGTGTCCGACCCCCACGGACACACCGTGGGGCTCCCCAAGTCCCCACACGCTCAGCCCCAGCAGCGCCCGCCCGACTCCTTGGTGATGCAGCGTACTGCTCACAAATACTCTTTTTTTTTTTTTTTTTAAACAGAAAAGATCTTTAAAGATGTTCTTTTCACTCTGTCCCCAGGTGGCTTTTAAAGGGCAACCGAGGCTTTTCACCTGTCCAGATCAGAATTTGGGGTTCTCTGGATTACGAGTGTGTGCAGAACCCCAGTACGTGGTCGCTGAAAGGCCCTGGGAGGCATGGGCTCCCCAGGACAGAGTGGTGGAATCACTTAGGCTGGAAAAGACCTTTAAGATCAAGTCTAAGTGGTGACTGAACTCTGCCCAGGCCACCACTCACCCCTGTCCCTAAGTGCCACAGCTCCTTGTCCTTTAACATCACAGTTCACTAGATTTTGTCTTTCCTTAGGGCAAATCTTGACAGGACTTGGGTATTTAACTTCAGGTTTAGCAAACAGGTACCAACCAGGCCGGGTGCTGACCCTCCTGTCCCCCAGGTCATCGTTCCAGCTGCTGCCCTCGAGCCGTCTGGTACAAACCTGCAACTCGAAACCGTCGCTAGAAGGGAGACATGCAAACGGAGACGTGCTGCTCCAGCAAAAATAAGGACTTGCAGCCGTTAGGAACCTTCACTGCCTGAAACCACGAGACTTCCCAAAATCGGTATTTTTGGAGCACCCCCTAAACTCAATCCCAACTGTAGCACAACACACAGGCTTGGCTTATCGGGTTTATTTTCTTTCCAAAACACATGAGATCAGAGCTTCAAAAGGAGAAACGGATTTACAGCAGATAAAAAGGGTGATAACGTGGACACAACGGCTGGAGCAGCTCCTTGGCGATCATTCAAAGCCACTGCAAGAAGATGATTTGATAATGTCAGGACATAATGACAAAGCCAGGGGTACGGCCCCAAAGAGCTCTCCCCCTCCTGAGGGAAGGCGCACTAACGCCTTCAGGCTGGGCTGCAAAGGGGTGAGCGGAGCCCAGAGCTGCCTCCGGAGCGGGAGGAGTTGGGGGGATCGAGGAGCCTCCCGCCGCAGCGCGTGGCAGGGACGTGATCCTGCAGCGGCTGCCCCTCACCCAGCCTGGACCAGCCGCTTCCTCCTGTGCCTCCAGGACGTGCCAGGCTGCCGCCGCGCAGCCCAGAGCACCTGCAACCCAGCGGGCATTACCTGACAAGGTGCGCGATGTCCCAGTTGGCTTCCAGGGTCAGCGGCCCTTCTACCTCCACGCCTTTCTCCGTCGCAATAGCCACTTCATACTGGGGAGAGAAGACATTGGCAGCTCTCAATAAAGCCTGAATTCCACACCTGAATTTCAGATGGGCCCCGTGAAAGCTCTAATCAGCAAGAGCCAGTAGTAACAGCCATTAAACAAGTTTTGGGTTAACACAGCTTTGCATTCAGTAACGTTTCACTGTCTCCCTGGTGGGCAAGTTGAGATAGTTGACAGTAGAAGCAGACAGAAACACTTCTGAAGCTAAACAACTGCAGCCTCGGGACGCTGCCACTGTGGGGATGGGAGAAGTATCACCAGATCGAAGGAAACGCCGGGGCTGAGCATCGCTGGGACTCAAACAGCTCTTCTGAGGCTGCAGGGGCAGCCTGGCTCTGGAGGGCAGCTTTGCTAGCAGCATCCCGTGACACAGCCCACCCCAGCCACCGCAGGGGTTACCGCGAGGACTCCCGCGCTCAGAGACAGGAGAGGAGCCGGGGTGCAGCCCGGAACGTCGGCCCGAGGCGCGGAGAGGGCACCCCAGCTCTCCAGCCCAGGCAGGCCGCAGCTGGGCACTCACCCTGTTGAACGACCGAGCGTCTCTGTAATACAAAATTTTCATGCAACGCTCGATCAAGTCACGGGCCTCCTCCTTCGTCAGGCTGGGTTTCTTCTCCAAGACTTCTCTCATCAATGGCTGCGGGAGAAAAAAAAAAAAAAAAAAAAAAAAAGAAGAATAAAATCCAGTAGCTCGGCCCCTCGGTAGCCCAGTGCTGAAGTCGCTTTAGCAGCTGAGCAGGAGCAGACTCTACCTGAGCTAGGTACGCTCCGTAACCCGTCGCGAGCGTAGAGGCTTCGTAGGCCACGCCGAGCATGTCCACGTAACCTAGGAAGCTGAAGGGGCAGCTCTGTGAGCGCGGCGGCTGCGGCGGGGAGGGACTCGGCTTTGGAGGGGCTACACCCGGCCGCAGACCTCTCCGAGCGCCACGCCGTGAGGAGCGGCCCCGGGGAAGGACGCGCAGGAACCGCCACGCCGCTCGCCCTCGCTCACCTCTCGCCGCTGTAGTAGCCTCCGATGACAACGGTGTTCCAGAGCGGGTTTATCTTGGACCTCCGGTTGTACATGACTCGTGTCAGCCAGGAGTGAATGGCTTTCGGGCTGTAACTGTGACCATCTCCCAACAGCTCCTCGTCGATTCTAACGCAGGTAGAAATTTCGCCCAACTAAGCAAAGCGGGAGGCGCCCGGGGAAGGGGGCAGCTGCGGCACCAGCAGGACTGAGCAGCCTCCCGCACGCTCCCCACGGGCTGTTCTCAAACGGGACCCTACGAGAGGTGAACCTGCCAAAGGCCACACACCGAAACCGGCTCTCCGCAGAGAATTTGGCAAATTCACTTGTACTGAAGGGGCTGCCGAAGGACAAGGGGGATTTCGGCTCAGTTTTACCCCTGCTCAGTGAATGCTTTTAATTACATTTCAGCCCTCTGAGGACCGGGAAAGGGAGGCAGCCCAGGCCAGGAGGACTTACACCATCTGGTCGATGACCTGTTTGAGGTACTGGAAGTCGGCGTAGTCGCCGGACGCGCCCAGCATGGTGGTGTCGTTCACCTTCAGGAGCCTGGAGATGCTGCGGAAGCGGGCGAGGGAGCCGTAGGAGCCCATCATGTCCGCGGCGACCATCACCCCGCCGTCGAACTTCACGCCCAGCACCGAGGTGCCGGTCACCATCGGGCTCCTGCGGGCACCCAAGGTCAGCGCTGCCGCGGCTCCTCGCAACCCCCAGCCCGGCCCAGCCCTCCCCAGTCCCTCCTGCCCAGACCCCCCCCCCGCCCCTCCCGCACTCACAGCGTGCGGGTGAAGGGCAAGGAGCCGGCGGCGGGGCCGGGCCCGGGCGCCACGGGGCTGTACGTTTGCCCCGGGGCCGGGCCCCCGGCCCAGAAAGGCGGCGGAGCCCGCGTCCCCCCGACCTCCATCTTAGTCACGGTGCGGCCCGCGCTGCGCAGGCGCGACGGAAGAACGACGGCGCCGCGGGGGCGGCCGGAGCCGGGCGGGAGGGTCTGGCCACCATCTTGTGTGTGGCGGAACTGTCGTGCGTTCGCTACAGCTCCCTCCCCCCTCGGGGCTGGAAGCCTCGCTCCGCGCCCCGCTGCAGCCCCGGGGGGGCGGGGGGGGGCCCGGGGCTGCCCCTGTCGCGCCGCGCCCTACGGAGCAGCCCCGGGGGCAGCGCTGAGGGGCCGCCGACCCGGCCGCCGCGCCCTTCCCAAGATGGCGGCGCCAGGTGCGTCACGTGGTCTCCCTCCCGCTAGCCGAGGGGGCGTGGTTGGGGGCGTGGTAGAAGCGCTCTGTCTCCGCCCCGGGGCGGGACATGGAGCGGCGCCGTCCAATAGGCGTCCCCGGGGGCGCGGCCTGGGCGAAGGTAACAGGTTGCGGTGGGCAGCGGCGGGGAGCGGAGCCGGCGGCGGGCGGTGAGTCCTATAGGGATGGAGCGCCTATGGAGCGCCTATGGAGCGCCTATGGAGCGCCTATGGAGCGCCTATAGCGGCCGGGGTGTGCGGGCTGCCGGCCCGGGAGGGTGCCCTGCCCTATGGCAGCACCTATAGCGGCTGGGGACATAGGGGCTGCCGACTCGGGAGGGTGCCCTGCCCCATGGCAAAGCCCATAGGGGTTGGGTCTGTAGGCGTTGTCCTTCCTGGGATGTGCCCTGCCCTATGGCAGAGCCTATAGGGGCTGGGACTGTAGGGACTGTTGTCCTTGGCATGCGTCCTGTCCTATGGCAGAGCCTATAGGGGCTGGGACTGTAGGTGTTGTCCTTCCTGGAGCGTGCCCTGCCCTGTGGCAGAGCCTATAGGGGCTGGGGCCATAGGGGCTGTCCTTCCTGGGCCATGTGCTGCCCTATGGCAGAACCTATAAGGGCTGGGCCTGTTGGGGCTTTCTGTTGCAGGGGAACCTTGCCCTGTAGAAGATCCTATAGGGGCTGGCTCTGTGGGGGCCCTTGTCCTTGGCGTGTGCTCCACCCTATAGGAGCGCCCATAGGAGATCTCCCCAGGGTGTGACCTGCCCTATAGCAGATCCTATAGGGAGCCCCAGGCTGCTCCCCTGGTGAGGAACCCGGGTTCTCCCTTTTCTATGGGCTCTCTCCTATCAGGGATCTGCTGTCCCCTATAGCCGCTACAGGAACTGCCTTTACCTGCCCCTATGGGCACTGTCCCTTCCATAGGGGATCTGTGTTTCCCTATGGAAGCTGCCTCTGCAGGCGCTCTTGCCCTTTGAGGAGCGGTCCCATACAGGGACCCTATAGCATCCCTCTATAGGGGCGGCAGCGGCCTTTGCTGCTTCTCCTCGTCATTATGGAGATAATCAGCCCCCGCCTTGTCTCAGCCGGCACCGGGAGTCGCGGGAGGGCGCGTTGCACCCCGGAAAAAAGGGGGGAAAAAGCCTTTTGGCCCCGGCGGCTTCCCAGGAAATCTCACACCACCGAGGAAGCCGCCCGGCCGTACCGCGGCCCCTCCTGAAACTTTAATGTGCCGAGCTGCCCTACTTCGCGGGCTCCCGGGGCGGTATTTTTAGCAGCCTGTTTAAATAAGAAGGAAAAATCTAGGGCTTGGGTGTTGTCCCTGCTGCCGCCCGATTATTCGCTGTCTCGGGGTCCCCGGTGCGCCGCAGCTCGCTGACCCGTCCCCGTCCTCTGCCCGCTCTTGCGTTTGTTTGGAGGGTGTTTGGGGCTGGCTCCCCGCTGCCTTTCCTCTCCCACCACCCCGACCAGTCGAGCTGGTTTGGGGTGGAGGTGGTTTCCATCCCCTTCGGAGGAGATAAGGCGCCGTTTGCCGACGGGAGCCCCTCGCCCGCTGCGTCGTGGCTGCGGCACTTGCAGCATCTCCCCTCGGCAGCTTTTCTGGGGGCGGCAGCTGCAGCATCGCCTCGCAGGGCGCTGCCCCGGGTCGGGGTACCCAGGGGGTTGGTGTGATGCCTGTGTGCGCAGTGAGCTGGGCGGGAGACAGGGGTTCCCATTTTGGGGTGAAATCAGAGCATCCCTGCGGGGCCGGAGGCCTGCCGGCTTGTGGGCTCTTCCTCGCTCCCTGCTCATGTACCCCTGGGCAATACTTATCCCCACGAGTGTGTGGGTCAGAATAACCCTGGTCCCAAAGGCACGACTTGCTTGGGGACCAGCAAACTGATCGGATCGGTGCCGCAGGAAACCCGTTACGGCGTGGCTTGTGTTTGGTTTACGGTTTGGTCACGGGCCCAGCCCCACGGTGCAGGGTCCCGCACGAGGGTCGGGTCGGGGCTTTCGGTTTCTGAAACGGGCCCTGGGAGAGGCGGGGAACGGGATTTTCCAGTCCCTGGGTTGTTGATTAACCCGAGGGCTCTGCCTGCGGCTGGGTTGGGATGGGAAGGAATTCGGTCCTTATCAGCTCCCTTGGGAGCCGCTGTGGCCATCGCTGGGGAGGGGGGGGGGGGACGATGACGACACCCTTATTCCCCCTGGCCATCCCTCTCCTGGCCCCCCGGCGCGGTAGCGGCTCCCCAGCACCCTGAGGAGCCCGTCCCCGTGGCGTGACGCAGGAGCCCTGGTTTCGGGTTCCTCCGACCCGGCTGGCAGCGCACGGCTCACGTGCTCGGCTGAGGATTTATCGGGGTTTCGGGCTCCCGAGTTTGCAGGAGAGCAGGAATAGCCGGTCCCCGCCGGTGTCGGCGCGGGCTGGCCCGGTGACGGGCAGGGCTCAGGCACGGCGTGTGCTGCCTGCGCCCAAAATCAGCCCCGGACTTTGGCCCCGAGCGAAACCAGGGCTGCGTACGCACACGGTTGAGCAAGCAGCGCTGCAGACGGGGCAGAGCTTTGGGGAAAGCCTCGGTGGAAATAGCCTAAACCGTGCCGGGAGCCAAAAACCAGGTGACGGGGGGAGAAACGCCGGGTCGGTGCATCCCTGCTGGCCCCTTCCCCACCATGTCGGTCTGGACACGGAGCGCTTGGGGACGATCCAGCAGCTTTTTCTCCCCGTGCTCAGGGGGTGCAGCAGCCGCACGGCCCGGCCTGCTCGGTTCGGGCCGAGGCGGCTCAGGGATGGGCTCTGGCGTCGAGGCAAAACGGTGCTGGCTCCTGGCCGGGGTCGCGGTGCGCGGCTGCCCGCGGTCGGGTTACCTGGCTGACCTTGATGGAGGAGGATCAGCCCGACCCGGCAGCCGCCGCCTTCCCCACCCGGGCGTTTTCGGTGCTGGGAGGGAGCCGGAGCCCCGCTCGGCGCAGGAGCCTTTTCCAGCACCGCCTGCAAATTGCAAAACAACTTTCTGGGTTAACGTCGCCGGCACAAAGGGCTCATTGTGCCGCCGATCCGGGCGAGCAGAGCTGGCCGCCCGCCATCCCCGGCGCTGCGGCCGACAGCACGGTGCCGGGGGTGCGTGACCACCAGCAAGAGAGACCTCTCCTGCCAGTTGGCTGCCGGTTCGCTGCCGGATCGCTGCCTGCCTGCCCTGCCGGGTCTGCTCTTGCCTTGGCCGGGCGCAGGACCCCCGCTGCTCAGCACGGCCGCCGCTGCCAGCCCGACCCGGGGATGGGTTAGGGTGTGTTGGAGTACGGTGCACACCCCGGAGACAATAACTAGCCTATTTTTAGCCCCGATTCTCCATCCCTCCAGCTTCCAGGCTCCTTCTCTGCGGTTTCCAGTGAAATCCCCTCCCGGGGCTGTTTCCAGCCCGGGGCTGGGTGTTGCTCTCCCACACAGGAATGTGATCCGGCTCCAGCCCTTTATCAGCGAGCTGGAGCCCTTCCAGGAGGAGGGAGGCATTCCTGGGAGATTACGGGCCGGGCCTGGCTCACCTGCTTCCTCCCGGCTCCCCCACCTCCCGGCTCGTGCCGCCGGAGCCCCCCGAAGCCGGGAGCGAAGCCGTGCACCTCCAGCCTTGGAAAGAGCAAATCCTGCTCTCCCCGGTCCGGTGCTGTGCCGGCTGGGTTTGAGCCCAGCGCCGCCCCCACCCGCGTCCGACCCCCGCCGTTATCCTCCATCTGCTCCCCGCTCGTGCCAGCCCGGGGGCAGAGCCGCGGCCTTTGCCGGCGATGCTGGCACAGCCGGCGCTTTGCCGGCGGTGCCGGGGAGGAGGCCGATGCCGTGCCGCCCCTCGACACCCATCCAAAGGCCTTCCCGAGGCGGGTGCTGCGCCCCAGGCTCGTGGTCCCCACTCTGATTGCAGCGGCCGAGCCCTCTCCCCGCCCGGGCTGTGCCTCGTCACCGGCCGCACTTTGGACACTGGCAGCCGTGGAAAATTCTGAATTTTGCTGCCGAAGCTGGTTCCCTCTCCCCAGTTTGGCACGGAGGGGATCCCGCAGCGCCCAGACTGATGGGATTTGCCGTAGGGGCTCTCGCCGCGGGCGCTGGGCTCAGGGTGTGTTTACAGGGGCTGGTGTCTGTTACTGATCTCATTAGCTGCACACGGGGCAGGGATAACGAGCTCATGAGACGGGGGGGGGATCTTCTCCCATCCCCTGCGCCGGCTCTTGGGCTCCTTCGCCTCTGAAATGAGGAGCCGGTCCCTCGGCTGCTGCCGCGGCTGCTGGTTGCTGCTCTGGGGAGGGGTGCGGGAGCCCCGAGGGGCTCGTTGTGACTGGCAAAGCAGAGGAGCCGCCTCTGCCGGGTTTGGCTGGGGGACGGGAGCAGCCGGCGGCTGCGGGGGGCTGTCAGGGCCGGGGGGAGCAAACGGCTCGTCCTTCCTGGCACTGCCCGGCACGGTCAGCGCGGCACCCGCTGCCGCCCCGGGCCTGGCACTGGCCTTTTCCACAGAAAGCTGGGTCCCACGGCCGCAGGGCGCCGGCTTCTCCCCTGGGTGGGCATGGGGGGAGCTGTGGGCTCGGGGTGATGCGAGGACTTGGGAGAGCCCAGCAGTGCTGGGATCCCCCCGCTCCCTCCCGGCCGGCTCCCCGCTCCGGGCTGGGGCAACTTTGGGGGTGATGCCTGGACCTGTGCTGAAATCATGGGGGGTTTGGGTTTGCTTTTTTTTGTTTTTCTCCATGCTCAGGGTGTGTTTA